ATTATTTTGTTGATATATTTTAGTTAGCACCTAGTTTCCTCAGAAAGTAAACATTTTTACAAATCTTATAATCACTTACATTTTATTACTCTATGCGGCCTTTAGAAAAGCTTTACAAAGACCCGCTGTCCGTGTACCAACCCTCTCGCGTCTCTCTAAGATTGCAAATAGCCTGGGCTTGGAAAATGGAGGGCATTGATCTGATAGCTTATCGAGGTGGGAATCCAAATGACGTTTTATTGGTAGTGATAGATTATTTATTGTTATCTGGGTCCAAGCTGAAAGTTTTAAGTACCTTATCTATTAATTTGAAGCCGACTTGGTCGTAGAAAAAGTGGCTTGAACCATTCATGATATCGATGAAACACCAATTATCACAAAAACTGCGGTGTTAGACAGCGACTGCTACAGACAGTACAGTAACTAGCCTAAATAAACGTACTAAACATAACAGCTTGAGACGATCAAAGAATGTTCTCTCCTTTTGATAAAATGTTTGATGCTTTGCATTGTTATAGTGGTAAATCTAAGGCTTAACACTTTAACTCCCATAAGTGACCAAGACAGAATTTCTCCTTACAATATCAATACATTACCAAGCAGACAAGTGAGGAGAATAAAGAAAAATATCAATTAGTGACCCGGGATAATTAGTTGATCCAAACCCAAATTCTCCCAATTAACATCACAAGAATTGTATGGGGAGACAGTAAGGAGAATTACTTATGAGATCTTGAGAGTGAAAGGGTTCATTAAAAAAAGGGAGCCCATGGGCTCCTATTATACATCAACTAATTCGTAACTTTTTCGCATTGTGAAAATGTGTCTGTAGACCACGATAACTCCTTCAACGTAGTCATTTGTTTTTAATTTTTATTTTTGTCTTTCTGTTTGTTTGTTTATCTATTTTTGTGCCTTTGTTTTTTTTCCTATGGCGAAAACTCCCCTCCGTTGCAAGGTCCGATCATTACCATTTCAACACATTAATATCAAAAATGATTTAATAATTACTTTTTAATACTTGAATAAGGTAAATAAATAAAGTTAAAGCTCTTGAAAATGTAGGGAAGACTACATATTTTTTCCAAGCAGCAAAAAGTATTAATTTTTGGGCGAGGTCTTCATCGGATATCTTAGTTTTCGCAATTTACTTCGGCCGGAACTTTTCATTTACGCCATTAAAGATTTTAATTCTGCTTTTGGCGTACACTTTTGACAGACGCTGTGTTTTTAGATTGTTGATCGACT